CATAGCTTCATATTAATGTACGGATATGATAGTAGCATTCTTTATCTTATCTAACTCTCTAAGTAGTTTAGAGAAAAGTCATATTTCCCAGAATGTTGCATGCCTTTGAATGATACATGCTCACCAATTTACAGTCTTATTTTGGTAATAGTCCGATACAGTGTTTAAAAACCTCTTTCTGTGGTACCATGATCTTAACTGTGACTGGCCATAGCTGTTTCCCTCCATTCCTCTCGCCCTCATTTTCTTTTTTTGTCTCGAAATATAGATCAGAGAACAGTAGAATAAAATGGCATTTTACTCGACAAACATTTATTCATACCCCGTCTATCTCTGTTGCTAAATTGTTGTTTGATCAGGGCTTTGTTCATTTTTCTGCTGACGGCTGTTCTAATGGAGGGTTAAGGGAGTTGGGTGGTGGTGGTGGTGGGGGGGTGATTACGTTGAGTCTATATTTACCCGAGCAGAATAAAATCGATAACTCTTTGCCGTAGGAGAAGTGTGTGGATCAATGGAAGGTTTCAAAAAGCCTCTGTGAAAAATCAATGTCCCTTACATGCTATTGATGGCTGTTTGGCTGCAGAAGAATGAGAACGACAAAGAACACCTGTTTAACGTGAGAAATTACTCACCCCATCCTTTGCTTTAGTCATTTGGGATTTGTTGGTGTTTCTGTTTTCCTCAACATGGCTCTCTCTTAAACAATATGCACCACTCATACTTATTTTTTTAAACAAGCAGAGATGTAAAGAAACAAAGTACTGCGTGTACTATGTAAAATGTAATTGTTTTACTGCTGGGGTACATTTATTGCAACATAGTTTTTACTCTTACATGAGTGAAAAAAAACGCTTTACTAATTTCCTTGTTATATTTGGATACATTCACGGCACAACTCTCCTTTATTGACTGTTTTGGGGCAGGTTGTGGGATGTTTTATTACAAGCTGACCATGAATACTATCATAATCTTTGGTTGCAATGATGTAATATTCACATACAGTATTAGAGTTTGAAAAAGATAGCAATGCGCCAGTACTTAATCCTTTATCTTCTATTCATGACGTTACTCGCTACTCAAGGTTGTTTTTTGTCGGATGAGACTTTTGAAGATTGCTATTTTGATGACTACCTTTCCTTATAATGAGTACTTTTTGGATATACTTTCCCCCTCTGTATTTAAGGAAGTAATTCAATGCTGCTGTCCAACAACTGAGAACACATGGAGGAAATGTTTGTGACGCTAATACCAGGCTACATTCAGTACAAACCTGCGTCACTAGAGGCTGATAGGGACTAATATAATGCCACAGACTTACATCAGGTGCACAACACTACTTGAAGTGGCAGAGTGTATAGTGCTGGAATAATTAATTCAGTGCTTCTATTAATAACAAGCGGTCAATAAGATCCCATTGAGCTCTGACACAGTCTTGGCTCTCAAGGGGAATAGGGAGTACAGTCCTGCCAAGACCTGGAGCCATGTGAGGCTGCAGGCTCAGGGGCCGGGCAGTAGGCCTCTGTCCTGAGCTGCCATGATGGAAGTGACAATGCTGCAGACCTGCAGAGATACAGGTGAGGCCTGCTGTCACCCCGCCTGTCCAACTGATGGCAACTTGGTCAGGGCAGGGAGGAAAGCGACGGGATGGAGGGAAAGACCGCTGCCTGCATGTCACTCAGTGCTGCGCTGGATGACAGAACAGCCCATTAGGAGAGGGACTGACTTCACAGGCCATTAGGGAAGGCATCACACAGACACAGCACACAGAGCACTGAGTAATGGCACAGTAGGAGAGAGACAGGAGAGGGGATGAGAGACAGCGAGCTCTGTTTCAAAACGTTGTGGATAAAACCTAAAACTGCAACAACTTAAAGATCTCCGATCATGCTATTTTAGGCATATATTATGGGTCTCAGATATATAAAACACTTTAAAAACATGTCTATGATGTGTTTTGCTAAAAAAAAAAAACAGATGATGCATTTTAGGCATCCCTCATATCCCTCTGTTTCAGCCCTGTTAGAAAACTGCTGATTCTGGTTCCTTAGATTGAAAAAAAAAAAAAAAAAGGAAATGCTGCTGTGATTAAATGCCATATCATGTTCCAAACCACATCAAGGATTATTTCTGAAACAGTATGGAACTCAAATGCTTTTTCTCTTGCGGGTTTAGCACAAGGTGAGTACCAGGTCTCTCTTGCAAATGAGACCTTGTGTCTCAATGAGATTTTACACCTGTATAAATAAAGGCTAAAAAAAAAAAAAATGTCCTGCTTTCTTACACTGAGGCCCAATCCCAAACCACGCCCTACACCCTACCCCTACACACTACCCCTCCGTTTGCGCGTTCGCGCGGAGGGTCCGCCACATTAAGTGCTGTTCCAAACCAACGAGTGTGCAGCGTGTGGAGGGGGAGTGGGCTATCAAGCCCTCAAACAGCGAGTCTGCAGCGGTGCTGACTGGAGACCGGTCACTACCTGACCGGACTCAACGCTGTGTGTGTCCGTCAGGAAACACGCTGTTTACAAACAGTTCCATCAAACATCCACTGATAAATTGCGATGTTAACAACGTCATGATAACCTCATATTTTTTTAACTTAGGATCATACCTGTGGTTAGTCTAGAAAAAGGTAAATGTGTGCATTTTATCATAAAGTTGTGTATATTTAGAGACTGTTGCAAAAACTAAGAAGCTTATAAAAATCTGGTTTAAAACTAAAAGAGCTTTACAAAAAAGTAACACAATTAAAGATGTTTGGAGTTTTATTTTAGTTATTAATTTTATTTTTTGTCAAAGAGATGCTGATTTGAAACCGTTGTTACATACAGTTATGGCATTTCATGTTTCTGCCGGAGAGAGGGGAGTTTGTCCCAAAGCTTGCCGCTGTATTTACTCCCTCCATCTGACAGGAGGGAGCCTCGTTGAGCTGCGAGTGTCACTCACTCCGTCACGGAGGGGTAGTGTGTAGGGGTAGGGTGTAGGGCGTGGTTTGGGATTGGGCCATACTCTCTCAGTACAGGTTAGCTCTGAGTGCTAGCGATGCTCGCTAATGTAAACAAAGACCATTGTTTTCCGACACTTTGTGAGTTCCCTGACACACCGGGGACACATATGTATGTATAAAAGGACATTCTAAAGTGCATATTGCATGATAGGTGGGAAAATTAAATATTGTTGCTTAGATTTTTTTAGTTGCTTTCAGCTTTGACTGAGAAATATGAAACAAAAGGCAACATTCCCAAATTCCCAACAGAGGACTTGAGAGGTTACAAAAATGGACTAAACGCATCAACAATATAAAATCATTGCCATGCCTACCACCCCACAGAGCTGTCTTCTTGTTAAAATCTCCAGTTCTCGGTACGGCCCCACTTGCCCTCTAGTCATCATTAAAGAGAAAGACGGGAGCCCAACAGAGGCATCAACACGCATCACTTCTCCTCTGCTCTGAACGCTTCACCCTCAGCAATCCACCAGCCCCTGACGGACTTATTTACTGCACAAAGTGGATTATGTTTGGCTGCTCAGTATACTTCCAAATGTTCCTTTGATAGCCTCTCTCTTTCTCCCTGGCCCATCCCCTTTGACTCTCTGGTTCTGACCAATTCATGGAAATAACAGAACTGTCGGACCGGTTTGTGGCTGGTGAAGCACTACTGAAGGGCTCAGATAAAGGGTGTCAGGCTGATGCGACGCACTCTTACTCCAAAACAAAGACCTGCAAACTCTCTCATCTTTGACTTGATCCTTTTGTTGTTAATGTGAAAAAAAAAGGAACATACAAAAGTTTACTTCAAGCAGCTCCCCAGGCTGTTCCCTAAGGATTGGATAAAACCCGGAAGAAAAACAAAGAACAGAAACAAAGGGAGAGAAAAGTGCTTCTTTTGCACAATTTAAGACCCAAAGAGATAGAACTGTGAGAGTTTTGTAAACAGCGAGGAAAAGCTGATGGTTAGATATCCCAGATAAAGACCGAAGGAGAGTGGGAGCAGGGGATGAAGCAGTGGTCTCTTGGAATGATGCTTTTTGATGAATTACAGCGCGCAGCAGCAGCCAGAGTCTCGAGCCTCGCTCTGAGAGAGACAAACTGCACATTCTGTTGTGACAGAATCTCTGAATTTTAAGCACTCTGCAGCTCCTGCTTTTGCAAAACAACATATTTACACAAACATTTTTCTTTCTTCTCAGGCCCGACCTCCAACATGTTGTGTTTATATTTTGTACTTATCAAAACTAGCAGTTTTGCAGAAATCTAATATGCAGTGATGGGAGTCAGTTGTTGTTGTTGTTGTTGCCACATTCAAATCTTGACTGCTCAATGAGGAAAGGTTTATTGAAACATGAACAAACAGCTGAGGCGTTGCTATTTGCATACTCCTAGTTCTTAAGATATGAAAGCAGTTTATTGTTCATATTGTTATCTCTGATTAATCTTTGTTCAAACCCTTCATGTCCTTTCTGAGGCTTATGGTATAAACTGCTGTCCTGCTCTTTTGGGCCTGGAAATAGCTTTTCATTATTTCTCCTTATATCTCACAGAAGACCCAGAGTTATGGATTCAGTAAAGATTGTGTGACAAATTGTATTGTTATAAAGGAGCTATTAAAATAGTACTGAACTTCGGGCAACCTTTCTGAAATGGCCTGATAAAAGAGAGAAAGGAGGAGAAATAATCATTCTGTGAACCCAGTGGACCTCACTCTGTGGGAGAGTTTAGCTGCTTAGCTGCTTTGGAGCCTTCCTCGCGTCTAAAGGGAAAACTTCTCAGGGCCAATCAGAGCTGCTTAAATTGTCTAAAGATTTTGTGGCTATAATTACACCGGGAGAACACAACATAATCATCTATGAGGACGTGGCGAACAAACCAGCTATGCTAATGTGTTTATTTTCTTTTATCAACGTCCATCACACATCCCCAATCAGCGTTAGCCGTGAAGTGCTCTCAACAAGCTGCAAATTCAGAAGAAATCAGTGATGCACATCAAATCTGTCACTTACGCTGACGAGCATCTGAGGGAACGGTCCTCGAGAATTCTCTGCCACGTTGATTGGTGGGATCACCCAGTCCCTCTTCTGTCTCCTCAGACCCTTGGAGCTGTTCCTGCCCGACCCTGAGAACATGATGACAGGAGGTGGTGCTTGTGACGCCTCCTTCCTCTCTTTTCTCTCCGCGACTTTCCCCTCTTCCTTTATGACCTTTAAGAAAACACAGGGCTTTATTTAGAAGGGTGGATGTGCTGTTAATATTAACAGGAACTGATGTGATGCCAAAGTCTTGTCTGTTTCAAAGCAGAGGTTCATTTGACAAGAGGAAACAATGTGTGAATGATATGACTGACATGGTCAATGTTTATCCTGTTTTGCAGTTTTGAAACAACTTTAAAAAAACGTCCATCTCCCTGCTTTCAGAAGGAATCACTCTACAAGCAGGTACATGTGTCATAGCAATAACTGGAGTGAAGAAAAGTTGTAGTGTAGCTTTTCAGTCTCCGTAATGAAAAGCAGTCCTCCGTTAATAATTGTGGTGCTATTTCTTCATCCATATAATGGCTTTCATACATTCTGATAATAAAGTCATAATACATCCCTGTTATAGAGGCCTGCAATAATAACACAAAGAAAAAAAAAGGATGCTGAAACAAAAGCTGATTTGAAATGAGTGTATATATTTAATAGACAGTTTATTGTGTGCAATGACGATGAAAAGATGATTATCAAAATCGTCCAAGAGCTGAACAAAAGGCAAATATAATTGATGTTTTTAAAAATGTTACCATTTTAGTTGAAGCTTTTACAGCAATTATGAAATTCATTACAGATAGAAAATATAAACTTAACGCAAATGACAAGCTTGCTTAAGTTTGTTAAACATCTGAACTTATTCATTTGTGTCATCAGGCTTGAGCAACACAGAGCTGTACAGAGCTCAGTTTGAATGTGCATGTCTATGTGCATATATTTGTAATTGAACATAAACAAGGGACTTTGTCATTTAAACTGGGTATAAAGAGCCTATTAACTCATATTCCCCCATCACACATTTCTCTTACAGGTTCCCTGCAGGCAGAGAGGAATGACCACCAACAAATCTGTCTTTTTGAAAGATGCTCCAATAAGGAACTTGAAAGGAGCCTATTTTCAATCTCCTTGTGAACATTAACTCACCCGTGAGTCAGAAGAGCTACATCAAATGCTGAAGCTATCAGACATATCGCCTATCTAAATTAATGTCCTCATGTTGAAATACTGCAAAACACATGAAGGTGAACTGCAGAGTTTCTGCTTCATTACAAATGCTTGCAGGGTGGGTAGGAGCAAACACAAGTCATTGAAAATACAGAAAGAAACCTTTAATCGTGTTCCTCAGGGCTAGTTAAATCACCAGAGTGCACATAATCAGATATGTAGCTTCTTAATGCAAGTACATTACACACATCGGCGCGTCTGTGTCAAGGTTACATAGGCTCCACCGTCTCAAAGCCTACTTTTTAACTACCACAAGCCTAGTGTCCCCAGGGAAACAGTGGATGTGCTGTACTGTGTGTAAGTGATATAAAGGTTATATTAAATTGGCAATCTGGAGGTTTGTTCTACAGCAAGTTTACCAACATATCTCTGGGTTACAAGCCAGTGAAAACATGTCAAGAATTGAGTCACAGACATCACTGTGAAGCTCTGCATCAGTTGCGCTCTCTGTCTCAATCACGCTCCCCTGAGCTATCCCTTGCTCCTGCGCCCCCCCTCTGCCCTTCTCTCGCAGTGTTAGTGTTGTCTCTGTCTCTCCTTCCAGTCAGTGGGTCTTGACAGCTTGTCTCAATAACAGTGATTCCTCCAGCTCTGAGCTGCGTTAGGCTGATGGCGCAGCAGAAGGTAACACAGCAGCACAGGTTCACCCGCCAAAGACACCTACTAAAAGGCCCCCCAATACATTTCTTTCATCAATTCAACCTTAGTTTTTACAGGGTGGTCCAATCATAGAGGTTTACTCTCCTTCTAATGATTGTTATGTGTACCCAGGTCTAATTATAATCAAATATATAGAAAACTGCATGTGAAATATGAGGAGAAAATGGAGAAATGGTTTAAAAGGCATCAAACTAACACTATATAACATTAGAAATTCAGCTATAGCAGTTTTGTCTATGTATTAATATGTGAATCATGAATAGTGGATGTATCTTCCTCCAATTATATAGTGTTTTGCACTACTATCCACTTGAGTGCCCGCAGGTAGAAACACAAGGTGAACATATTAATGGATTGAATTAACGGGTAGGGAGATGAATGAACTAGATGCTGTGGAGCCAAGGCGTCTGCTGTTTACATGTCTGATCTTCATCTTCACCAGTTATACCCGTAATCACATACTTTGTGATAAGACATCTGCTGAGCCTTCAGGTGTCTTTTCTTGTTGGCAAAGGGAGTGATAGCCAGTGTTTTTAAGTATGAGTCTGGTTATGGTTCTTACATTAACAGCCAGGCTCGAACTGATTAATAGTTACATATACCTGCAAGTACACTACATTATTGTAAGTGTGTGTGTAGCAAACTGAGGACTTTAGAAGCTGTTGGGTAACTGTGACAGTAGGGCTGTGCAATTAATCATATTTTAATCGCAATCACGATTTTGGCCTGCCACAATTACGAAAACAACATAATCGAAAAAAACTATTATTTTGCTTTGCTAGGTTGTGACAGTGCACTGCAACATATTTGATCTAATTAATTTTGGTCTCATTTATTTGTATTTATCATATTTATATATGTTTAGTAACTTGTGGAAGTGCGCTCCAAAATATTTGTTGATCTTGTTTATTGGTATTTATTATTTTGATATCATTTATTTTATTTATTTTTGTATTGGTTTTTCAGTTGAATTATACGTTCAGGGTAATCAACAGTTAAAAAGATACTGTTCAAATTATTATTTGTATTTGTTTTAAAGTTCAATAAATGGATTTTTTCAAAGTCAATGAATAATCGTATTTAATAATCGTGATATCAATTATTGACCCAAATAATCGTGATTATGATTTTTGCCATAATCGCACAGCCCTATGTGACAGTACTGTGCTACATACAGACGATATGTGGCAATGCAATAGAGGGTGTGGGGGAACAAAAACTAAACAATTTGAAACCACTCCTTTAGAGAGAAGATAGAGAAATCCTTCATTACAGTAAATAAAACAGTGCAGGTAGGACATACAGTACGTGCTCATGTGAAGGGGTGGGAGGGTTTGCGTGTCAGAATATAAGAAAAATCTGGGCTTGTGGATTCAGGACCATAGGAGAAGGAAGTACAATCACCATACATTTACATAATAAGAGGGTAGTGTTTTTAATACCACCTCCATTTCTTTCATTTCGTATTACTTCTGTGCAATATGTAGCTTAACAGTTCTTCCCCAGCAGTTGACATTTGAGAATAAAAATGAAAAACAACACAGCTACAGTGCTGGAAGATGGCAATGGCTTCTGGCACACGATGAAAGTGTAGGGGTCCTGTACAATGCAGTCTATAAAAAGTGTTTTTTCTTTATCTCGTTCTGTTTGTTCTTGCCTGGTCAACGTCCCTCCGAGGGTTGGCTTGTATCTGCCAGCGGAAACAACGCTTTCAAGGCTGACTTCATTAGATGGACGCCCAGGAGAAAAGCTTTTAAGGCTGCTTTAAAGGAAAATGTGTCAAGCTACCAGGCATATGGTGTGTATGCGTTTATGTGGGTGTGGGGTGTGGAGGGGCTCGGGCCAAGGTGTCATGTTCAGTTTCATCAAGCAGGCGCTACATTTCAGACACCATGCACCGTGCAATTCAGGGCACTTTCAGTAACTATGCAGAAAGGGAGGTGGTTACACAGGGAAACGCATGCTAGGTATTAAGATGAATGAACGACAGGATTGGCTGCTGCACCTGGTCATTAGTGGAGGAACATCTTGATTCTAACACCCAGACAATTTGGACTCTTAAATGGCTGCATTTTGATCTGTCAGACTAGTTCCTAACGTGATCTTTATTCCTTTTTTTGTTGCTGTGTAAGTAGCGCAGAGAGGGTTTATGTTACATAAACTGTGAGTCTGATCCAAAACAGTGAAGATGCAGGTTGTGAGCAAAACACAGTTATAACACTTTGAAATGCTCTGACGCTGAGAGGAACTGAAGAGTGACAATTCTCTGTGGGTGTTTCATTACAAAAAAAATACAAGTCAGTTCATCCAGTATTCAATATTGATTATAGCAGCTATATACGCTGGTAAAGAAAGTACATAAATGTTGACAAATACAACTCAAGAATATGTATTTTGGGGGGGTATTGTTGTGTACACTATTGTACACTATTACAGTATTTCTAAGGTTTAACATTCACTTTCAATCTCAATGATTAGGTTAGGGGTTAGTGCTTAGGAATATGATATTTTAAAATGCATAATAGTTCAACAAAAACATTCTGTAAGTTTATATAAAAGGGTGTTGACTGTGTCCATGCTGCTAAAATACAGAATGTTGAAATAGTTTCTGTCTATTTATGATTAGTTGAGGGTGAGCAGCAGGTCCTCTTTCGGCCAGTGACGGAGCTAAAACCCTGAAACAGACCAAATGTGATCTCACTCATGACCCTGAGCAGCTTGTCCTCATGCTCACGGCCCAAAAAGCACAAACAGTATACCCTCCTCCTCCTCCTCCTCCTCTTCTTCTGCTGTGTTCACAATCTGTATAAGAGACCTGCTATCCCTCCAAACACACATGTTACCATATTCCATGTTCGCTGTACTGTGAGACAAGTTCACTGAAACATGCTCGTGATCCTTTGCCTGCAGTCCATATTCAGGAGACCGGCCTCTGCCAAGCGCACCATGCCTGTGTGCACAAACAGGGTCTGTCAGCAGAGCGGGAGGAGACAGATGTGAGCCGGCTCTGGACAAATGTATTCTTTTTCTTCAGAGAGAGGAAGGCTTAGTGGGGCTGACTGCAGGGGCTGGTTGCCCCACATCCCACCAGTGCAGGGTGGAGTGGCAGAGGAGGGGCGAGACGTGTTTGGGATGGAATGAGGAGGATGAGGGGAAGGGTTGTCAGAAGCAGATGTGGCCCCCCTCCCCTCCCCTAAATAAGTCATGCTCCAAATCCTTTTATCTACACATGCTAACAGGTACTAGTGAGTTCCCTGAGGAGAGATGTAGAGCGGGAAAACTGAGAAAGAGAATTGGAAAAAGGGCTGTGCACATCACAAAAGGCTTAACCAGGCTTTTTTTCTAGCCAAGGTGTAATTCTGATTAAACTCTCCAACTCTGATTTACTCGTTCTTATTCACACTCACACGGAAAGAACGAACGTACAGGAAGGTGGCGAATTGATTTGAAAACAGGTTAAGCGGAGATGTCCGAGATATGTCCGAGATAGTTCGGCAGTGGCTCAGTCAGTAGTCCGGCAGTGGCTCAGTCAGTAGGGGCTTGGACTGGGAGCTGTAGGGTCGCTGGTTCAAGTCCCCGACCAGACCTAAATATGGAGTGTGGACTTCTACTTGGAGAGGTCCCAGTTCACCTCCTGCCCTGCCGTGGTGCCCTTGAGCAAGGCACCGGACACCCCCCTTCCCCCCCACTCCCATTGCTCCCCGGGCGCTGTACAATAGCTGCCCACTGCTCCTAGTACTAGACTCCTTGTACTAGGATGGGTTAAAAGCAGAGGCCAAATTTCACTGTGTGTGCTCTATGCTCTGCATGTGTGACCATTAAAGAGGGTTTCATCCCTCCCTATTCTATTCTATTCTATTCTATGTCTTTGCACTTGTTCAAACTGTTATGAAAAATGGAGGATAAAGAGCAAAAAGCAAACTGGAGTAATATATCAGAAGGTTTAATGGTAGCTTCACAGATTCTACAGATTCAAAGGGATGTGTTATTCCCTTGATTCGAGGATGGCGTGCACTCTCATGCAACCCTGCACTTAGCTCAGATAAAACCTATAGGCTCCAATCATAAGACACTTTATGCGTTCAACAAAGACACAACCTCACACAGACCCTACAAAGCAATTAAAATGTTACGCAACATTTGCATAATTCACACTTGATTCGACATAATCTCTTTAAAAAAAATAAAAAAAGGCATAAACAAATAATGTTACCCCCCACACACACACATACGCTTACACACACTAACGCTATGTGAACAGGAGTCAGTGAGTGTGAAATGGATGCAGCCCCCCAGCTCTGGTGCCATCAGCCTTAGCCAGCTGGCGGTGGTCCCGGCTCTTCCCCCCCCCCCACGCCACTGCCTCCCCAAAACCCTGCACGCTTTGATATCAGCCAGCCCCTGGCTACCCAGACATCTGGAAGTTATTATTCAACAGCGCACTCCAAAAAAGAGCCATTTCCATAATGAAACATCACATTTTGTTTCTGTGCCCTGCTTTCTGCTCGCGCCACATTCATGTTTGTTACAATCCGTAGCGTATTTCTGACCTTTGGCCCTGTCGAGCTCTGTAATTATTTGAATAGCCTGTCATTTGACCTTTCACACATTGTGGTTTAATCCTGAAGCTCCCACCATACTAACCAGTGAGTCATCTGAAGCCTCCCCAGCTACAATAGGGTGAGAATGAAGGCCAACTTCATCAGAGCCAGAACAACATACTTCACACCCACGCACACTGATCCCTTGTTGTCCGATGTCCCACTCTGCCTCAATATTCGCTGTTGTTAGAATTTGATGTATAACTGACTTGTGATAGGTCTTCTTTGTGTCTGACCATGCACACTATAAGGAAGATACAGCTGATTTTAAACAGTTTTAATAGCTGTCTCAAAATCTAAACACAAAATATTCAACTATTGGAAAAGTTGACACCTTCAATGAATCAAACTAACCTTGCTGATGTCAGAGATGCTTTGCATTGATTTTCATCTTTTGCTTACACACATCAAAAATGTGGTTTATTATGGGTAATGATCCTCTCAAGACTCAAAGTGATGGAAGTAAAGCTCAAAATGTATTCTGAAATCCATCTATAATGTTGTCAAAATCTGATTTATTTAGTTAAAATATGATTTATTTGTGTGAGGGCGTTTGTCTATCTGTATTAGCACAGAAATAAAGTGAGTCTGCAGGAACTGATCACCCTGAACTGAAATAAATAGGTTAAAAAAAAGTATTCGTCTTATTAAGTCCCAAAATGTACATCCTAACTTTCTGTAATTAATTTGTGAACATGTCCTTCATGAGAGCATAGATTTTCTTGACTGATAAACTAAATAGTAACATTGGATGAACTGGTTTCTCCAAGTTTTAGCAGCTAAAACACAACAATTACATATAATCTTCTTTAAATATCGTACAGTGAACATTGTGCCAAATATTTGCTAATTTACACATCCAGCACCCTCAGAGCGACACAAGCCTGCATTAGAAATTTGTTTATGGCCCCCTGGTGAATATAAGAGCAATATTCATTCTCCTTTGTACTGTGTTTTGTATATTCACTGTGTTTTTCAGAGCCTTTTCGCTGAAAACAGTGAGACTAAACATAATTATAGCTGCTTTAAGCTTTTTCTTTATCTTGAATGCTGTCAATTGTTTTACACAGTTTTATGCTTCAACTAAACTTGAGCATTTGTTTATGGCCAGTAAGTGACAGCTGGTTCCAACCAAAAACCCAAACACGAATTAGTGGATTGTTTTCAGTCATTATGTTTCATAAGTGATACACTTCCTAGCTAGGTTTGATATTTTCAGGAACTGACAGGCCATCTCCTGCATGTCTGTAATTACATTATAGTGAAAACAGGCTACTAATAATATGTGTTGTTTTTACCTGATGTGATCATCACTCTTTTGATTTTGACACTCAGATGTGGCCTTGTGGTTCTGTAGTCATGGGGACGGTTGAGCTCACGCTGCTCAGGCTTCACCTGACCCCTGACAGCTTTTAAATAGAGGAGGGAGAGTCGAGGACCCCTGGGGTATCCAAGGCACAGGATGTTTTCCAAAAACAGCTTATAGCTGAGGGGAATCATGATCTCTCCCCGTGGCAGTGTGATTCTATCACTTTCAGCCGTGTGCTACTGCTACTTCTTATTGCTCCAGTCACTCCCTCCCTCCCTCTCTAAAACCCCAAGGAGTTTTGACCTGATTCTTGGCTGTTGCTATCACCAGGACCATTGGAGAAAATTCGATAGGAAGAAGAAACTCTGGGATTATAATTGAAATTTGAAGCATGATATTTGCGTGCTTGTGCTCAGTGAGAGTGAAACTCACCTCATTCTCATTTTGTTGAGGTAACAGTGGGTCAATGAGGGCCAGCTGGATCACCGTCTCCCAGACTCGTGTGGTGGGACCCCCGGCTGTTAGTTTAAACTGGACTGGTTCGTCCAGGCTGGCTCCCTCTCCCTGGGCATAGATGGACCCATCTGTCCGCACACTGAAGATCGGATCACTGCTCCGGAAGACCACAGCGTCATTCCCCATGCAGTCATCGAACTTCACTGTGGACAAGAGAAATGTAAAGATTTAATAAACGTATAATAGAAACATATATTGTGTCATCATTTAACAATTAAATTGCCGTTTTTTCTCACAGGGATGCAAACATTCACATACAGTTCACACATCAGTATAGGAAGTAGATTACAGAGATTGTATCATGTGCCCTGTTTGACTCTGGTGCATCTCACCATTAGTCTCCATTAGTTATAGGTCAAAACATCACAAGGATAAGACTCTTGAGGATTGTTCTCTAAAGCTGCTTGTGAGAAAAGACGGACACGTGATGAGGTGTGTGTTACTGTGGAGGGGGTGAAACATTGATCTTGATAAAGCTTGAATCTGTTTGAAGGTGGACAAAGTGTTTGGTAATTAACAGTTACAATGACAGAGAGGATGTACAATTATTTGTATTATTTGGCTTAATGATGGTTCAAATAGAAGATCATTTTTGTTTTCACTTCATATTTAATTGTTAAAGGTAGGGTAGGTAATTTTGGAGAAACCAGCTCGAGATCGGTAGAATTTGAAAATACACAGCCGGAAAAAATCTGCCACTTCCTTACAGAGCCCCTCCTCCAACACACACGAACGCGCACATGACCAATGAGGGCACGAGATAAGTTTGTGCACAGATGGAAGGCTGACAGGCAGGTAGGCCATCCAGTTATTTTAGCCGGGCCGGCTAAAATAACTGGTCGTGCTTTTTACAGTACTACGTCTTCCACAGATGACATTTTTTAATGGATTTTTTGTCAAAGCACTTAAGATATTCATTGCTATCGGGATATTAAGAGCATTCCATGGAATATAACAAAAAGTGTATCTTGAGCCGGTTTCTCAAACTTACCTACCCCACCTTTAATTGCATGAAATTATGAGTTTTTTTTTGTTTTGTTAATAGCCAATGCTCATAGTAGTGCTAATGGGGATCCTAATAAAGAATAAGACGACCTGGTCAAACATTAAATAGCATTGTTACTTTATAAAAAATAGATAATATACATAGGAAGTAACCAACAGTGAATACCAGTGAAGTGATCAGCTTCATCTGCAAATGTAGTACTCCCATTTTCATGACTAAAATGAAAAAACCTGTTCTGTCAAAAAACTAATATTCTACTAGTGTTGTGGCTTTTCACGATACTATGTTTTTTCACGAGTGACACAAAATGATGCTTTTAGCTTTAAATCTGAAGGCTAAACCGCTCTGTTTCTAGTCTTTTCTCTAGTTATCTCTGTCAGTTCAAGATCATATGAATTCACAGTGATCGCTGCACAGACTGTCCCATCCTCTTCTTCTCTTCTCTTTTCCTTCACACTGAGATAAACTGAGACATGTGAAAACCAAACACTTTGCACATCACATCTTCATCGTGCTGTAAAACATATTTTAGTGAAATGGCTTAAGGAAAACGGCCAGCTAATTGCACCAATTTTCTTCAAATGACAAATTACACATAGCTGCCACCCATTTTCTAAAGCTTTCTTTCACACAACCCTGGGTTTGCACATCAGTGTACATACACCTGTCTCCTCACATTTATGTAAAGGTTTGTGTTTGTAGTTCAAATTGATTGATCTGAACAATGTGCCTTTGTATCTTAATTCAGAATGTCACAGTTTTCTCATACATCCTCACACCTAATGACCCAGATCCATTTTTATCCTCCACATTGGCTCATTGTGCTTGGATGAGAACATACAAAATGTTCAAACTGAATTGTCACCTCCATCGTTAGCACAGATCATTTAATACAGTCACACTAAACCAGTCACTGCTAATAACCAATCTGCAGGGAATGTTTTCTTGCACCTAGAGGGCTTGGCCTGTTTGTACATATCTGATCAGTATTCATTTAACATGTGTGATTAACACAAATCACACAATTACTTGAATAGGCTTATCACTCTGCACAGCGTATGACAGGATAATAAAAAAAGGTGCATATTCATCCATCCCATGTAAACACGATTGTGTGAACAACACAAGTGGTTCATTAATTAATGCCCGACAAATAGATATTACACTGTAGCAACCAATGCTAACAGGGCTCTGGTGTCATATAGAGAAATAATAGTCTTACTCAAATTTGTATGAGCAGGGAGTACAAATGGAACTCAAGCCTCAATCATCACAGCATCCTTGCACCATACACACACTTTTGATTGGAAACTGTGGCAAATATACAGGAAAAGAGCTTGAAATATAAAAAATGTCCCCATCCTTCAAAACAGAACATCCCGTACGAGGAGGAGATTTGCTTCTCCAGCAGGGTACACTGCCAGAGAAGTAATCAGAGGCAGGTCAATACATGCAAGAAAATCTCTATGGAGTTTTGTGCTCTCCAGTAAGGACATTAAATACTTTTTCTATCACATTAAGATAGTACTGTATAGTTCAGTACGGAGCTTTCTGCTTTGCCATGGCGCTCGTGTGTGTGATCTCTTATGAGACTCTCACGGAGTTCATGAGAAGATGAGTCACAGACAAAGTGTCGCACATATCCTTCCTCCCTCACAGCACCCGAAGCCTTTCCTCTCGGGGATTATAACGTCTAGACTACAAATCGTAGAAAACCCTGAGCTGAAGGCCGCATCTCACTGCCGTATCTACTCTTCCTCTCTTCCCACGTCTCCACAACAGCTGAAACAAGGCTTCGATTACAGAAAGTAAACTGCGAGTAAATCTGGCTTTTTGTTCTCTCTGGATCTAAATATGCCTATGATCTTGTCAGTACCCTTCTCTCTGAGGCTTGATGTCCAGACAGCCACTCAGAGCTGAGTCAGAAGGGACAGCTCAGCAACAACAGCGCATATAGCAGGTGCTGCACAACTGTCCCGGTCTAGACAGGAAGAGACAGGATGTACGAGATTGATTACATCAAGCCAAAAGGCAGAGAAGTCTGGCTTTCTCTCTTTATGTAGCTGAACAGTTCTTCCCCAAACAAACACTCTCAAAAGCCTTTTTCGCTTCTCTCTGTTTGTCTCATTCTCTTTTATGTTGTCTAAGCTTATCTCATATCTTTTACCATTTATTTTTTACAGATTCTCAAAATTAAATTTGGAAGGTCGGGATGACAATAACAAACACGCCAGTTGGCAAACATGTATCCATGCAAATAGATTTTTGGAAGGCTGCCTGATCATAAAATTAAGTCAAAAATCTAATTCAAAGCATGCTTTATTTTATTTCTATGTCCCCGAATATGTGAAACTGTCTAAGAGTGTGAAAAAACAAAAGCAGCAGGTGGTCTGTTGTCCTTCCTCTCACCGTCTTCAAATTGTTTTCTCGTCTCTGTCTGAGCTAGGCACGCAGCCACCAGTGTGTTGCTGCCGTCATGGCTGCTAGAGGCCTGAATGCTGAGGCTTCAAACTGAGGGGAAGGGTTATCCAGGGGGTATGTTCAAACACATTAAAGAAATATAACAGTTGCTGCGGTGTTGGGACATCATGGCAGTAAGGTTCTGCAACATGGGTGTGAATAGTTGTGTGACCATGTGATAGTCCTTTAATGACCTCAAAAGGTGTGTCAGATAATGCATATAGTCGGTTTCCCATTTTATATTTGAATTGTTCACATCTTTTTTTCTCAGAGGCACTAGTGGTGATGGCCCGAAATACTGTAGGGTCGCCTCAAGCTGAGGTCACTGTTGTGGTGATTTAATATGATGCTTACTATTTGTTTGTTGGTAAATAATGGAAAAATAAAATCTTTAAGGGAAAATCGGTGAACGACTAAATTGATGAGCCACTAAACAACGAGGTAGTTGGGTATATACTGTATAATCAGTCCCTGTGTGTATATGTGTGTGTGTGTGTGTAGGCATTTATTCACCATGATTGGCTGGATGTCTCAACAATGACAAGCTGAACTAACTGCACCAATACCCACACACAAATGGAGTGACAAGCTGCGCAAAGAGTACCCAGAGGGTCTTGTTCTTGCACCAATTAAAGAAAAAGACAGTGCCAATTTTACTCCTCCATCGACATACACACACTCACAGACACACACATACATAAAACTCCAATAGCTCCTCTTACACTCAGTTGGGTCGATACTGCTATAAGAGAGATTATAAAATCGGCCAACAACAGAGCAATGAAGCCCAACGGCACAGAGCTGCACATTAACACGTCGTCTAAAGCAGTGGGCCGGGTTGCGCATTGATCTGGCAAATAACACAGACACCCCCGTGTGCCAAAGAGCCAGGCCAGCACTATTCCGTCTAGTCAATGTAGTGACACATCAGAAACGACACAAACACTACCAAGATATATGTGGGGTCTCTCATAGGGAGGGATCAATTCCATGCTTTCTTTAACACAATTGCTAATAATGCGGTGAAATGGCGCTATAATATCACAGCCCAAACAAAGCCTTTGCATATTCCTCTCTTTTCTAATTAAAGTTCCCAAAAGACAAGGACAAGGAGGATGTGACAAGAGTTGTGACCTTCTTGAGGTGTTCTCTGGACAGCCTGACATGAAGTAGGTGACAAGTGTTGAAAGGGAGGTGAGAAAGGGATACGTTGAGGGGGGAGAGAGAGAAAGCTTAGGAGTGACAGGGAGAAGGTGAGAGAAGAAGGGAGGAGAATGGAAGGGCATGGAGGGAGAGAGATTGATGAAAGGATGGAGAGTGTGTAGAGGTGGCAATCAGAGAGACATCGAAATGAATGAAAGACCATTAAAGAGGAGAAAGGGAAGAGGTGAAAAATTGGCGGAGTGGAGATCTCCAGAGGCAGCAGAGTTTAGAGCTGCAGCCGTTTCAATTGTTCAAAGTGTGGCGCGTTGAATGCATCAGATGTCACCCTGCTCTGCAGAAACAGTAAAGAAAAGATACTCTTCCACCATGTTGTCTTCACGGCCCCCCGATCTCTGCTACAATCAGGCCCATTGAGGACAAGAAAGGAGCAAGTAGAATGAGGATGATGGAGATGAAGAGGAGGAGAGGGGAGGAATGGGAGTTGAGGTGGAGGAGGGCAGCGGACGGGGGCCT